TATAGCGTTTGTTATAGAGCGATTGTTGAAAATAAGTGTATCGTAAAGTTGTATTCAGAAAGAATAAACCAGTTTTATTAAGTAAGGACTTGTGTCGCTAAAGTTTCGTCGGAACGAAGTTACGGGAAGTTAATTAACAAACAGAGGCGTAACACTACTTACAATTATTTTCATTTGTGTGGAACCCTTTGGGCAGAGGTCCACTCTACCGTCTCCTGATATTGCTCGCTTTCTCCTAAAACTGCTGAACCCATTTAGGATTACCTAGATTTTGTCAGTTTTCCTCCACCTGATTATGGCTTGCTTTCACAGGCCTCTACTAGGGAATGTGCTAGGCTTACCTTGGACTTTTTTAGACATGTTTGACAGTATAATTTTCCCCTTCTTATCCAGACATTGTTTCATGATGAGCATTTTTGTCTTTCTTTTGGAAGAGGGTATTTGCATGCCTCACCTTATACCGGTTTCGGTTCTTTTTGCCTTAGCTTACCATCAGGCAGATTTTCTTCTTGATTCTATGCACTTGGAATCTGTTGTCTGTATTGAGGTGCAGTTTCTGTTCATCCTATCCATTTTATTCCCTACCTAGTTTTCTGGCTTAATCTTACTTAATCGATTCTCCTACAGGAAATGTCTATCTTCCACCTCCTTTCTTAGGCATTTCCACCTGTATCTAGAAGACTTTTGTGGGACACTGCCTCCTTCTCCCCTCTATGTTGGGGCATTTGCCTCTTTCTGTTCATTCCCTTCACAAATTGCTTCTTTGCTTTTGGGTTCATCTGGGGTGATACACTATTTTGTACCATTTGTTTACTATCCACTTCTAATACGGACTTATTGTTGGCTCTTTTTCTCCACCGGTCTGTTATTTTTGGTTATTTCTGTGCATTTAGCATCACGTGGGGTTTCTGCGACACTATATTCTATATATTTGGGTTGCTTTTCTGTTTCATTGTGGGACATTAATTGTTATCTCTATTTATATTCTATGTCTGGCACCTTAACATTCTTTACCTGTCATACCTACTGGTTTCTCCATTCTTCGTGTATGCTTGATGCTGATTGGAGTTCTGAATTGATTGGTCCTGCCTCAATCACATCTTGGTTCTTCCCATTTTAATATATCGCCTTTTCATCACAATCAAGTGGGTAATTTCTGCAGAACTGATAAATTCCCACAGTACATGTTCTTATTTTTTATTTCTTGGGATGCTATCTTAGGTTTCCTTCACCACATAATTTGGTACCAGTTTTGTTTCTTGCCCTTTGGACTTGTTTCGGTTCTGTATGTCTTTTGTCAGGTGGTCTGCAATTTACCCCACTTCTGTATTTTAGGGTTTTTTACTAACACCACTATTTGGATATCTAGCTTTGGTTAACTCTTACTGAACAGGTTGGTCATAACATACTCATCTGCTTTTTACACAAGCTACTTGGGTGGTTTGATTTTCCAGTTGGATAATTATTTTCTGTTACCTACTTAACTCTTTGGAGAATTTTTTTTTTACAAACCTATATCCGGACCATCCATTTTCTTCCATGGAGCTTTCTGTTACAAACACCATTACAGTCAACCATCTTACTACTAGTGAGGTTCTAATGCATTGGGGGAATTGATTTCTATGCATCGCTTCTCCATTTGGATCTGGCACATTTACAACCTTTTCAAGAGATGCTTTGGATTCTCCTCTTAACTTTCCTCCTTCCCTCTTTGACTGTATGTGTTGGTGGTTTAACATATCCCCCTACGTTGTCGGGTTTACTGCCCCCCTCGTTTGGATTTGTTTCTCTTCTCTGATGCTCTTCTCCAAATTGGGGGCATGGGTCTATCAGCAGGAGGCTTCAGGCCAATGGTCTATGGATTAAAGGTCTTACCATGTTAATGCCCTGGCACTTCCAGCAGTTCAATGTGCTTTAGTTCACTTTCTTTCTCTTGTCTGGATTTAATTAATCATATTTCATTCTGACTATTCTGCCTCCTGTGGGGTACTCCTCCAAGTTACATCTTTTATTTTTGGTCTCCTGTTTATCATCCATTCAGCCTCACTCTCAGTACATTCAGACAGAATTAGATCCATTTTATAACTTTAGCTTTCTTATCCTGTCAGTGTTCTTCCCAAAGTGATTTTGATCATGCATGTCAGGTCTTTCTGATTGATGCTTCCTGGCTGGCACAGATCTGGCTTTCTTGACTGTTTCGGCTTGATATATTTTTTTTGTTCTGGATCGATAGTACTAACCTGCACTTTGGAGGCTCATGTGGAATATTCTTTTTGTCAGTTTGTTTCTTGCCATCTTCCACCTTTATTCTTGGTTGGATCCAGATGACTTTCTTTGGTCCATACATTCTCTGGTTGCTTCATTGCCTTCAAGGCTTCATTCCATTGACTCCATTTCTCACAGTTTCATTCCTGTACACCACTCCTCTGTTCGTGATTTTTCTCTTCTTCCTTAACCCATAGGGT